CCCAGCAATCTCACTACTGGGCATATACCCTGAGAAAATCATAGTTCAAAAAGACACATGCAGGGCTTCGCTGGTGGCGCAGTGGTTGAGAGTCCGCCTGCCGATGCAGGGGACACGGGTTTGTGCCCCGGTCCGGGAAGATCCCACATGCTGCGGAGCGGCTGGGCCCGTGAGCCATGGCCGCTGAGCCTGCGCGTCCGGAGCCTGTGCTCTGCAACAGGAGAGGCCACAGCAGTGAGAGGCCCGCGTACCCCCAAAAAAAAAAAAAAAAAAAGACGCACGCACCCCAATGTTTGCTGCAGCACTATTTACAATAGCCAGGTCATGGAAGCAAGCTCTATGCCCATCAGCACACGAATGGATAAAGAAGATGTGGTACATATATACAATAGAATATTACTCAGCCATAAAAAGGAACAAAACTGGGTCATTTGTAGAGACGTGGATAGACCTAGAGACTGTCATACAGAGTGAAGTAAGTCAGAAAGAGAAAAACAAATATCATATATTAACGCATACATGTGGAATCTAGAATGGTACAGATGAGCCAGTTTGCAAGGCAGAAATAGAGACACAGATGTAGAGAACAAACGTATGGACACCAAGGGGGGAAAAGTGGCGGGGGCGGGTGGTGGGATGAACCGACATATATACACTAATATGTATAAAATAGATAACTAATAAGAACCTGCTGTATAAAAAATAAATAAAGGGGCTTCCCTGGTGGCGCAGTGGTTGAGAGTCCTCCTGCTGATGCGGGGGACGCGGGTTCGTGCCCCGGTCCGGGAGGATCCCACATGCCGTGGAGCGGCTGGGCCCATGAGCCATGGCCGCTGAGCCTGTGCGTCCGGAGCCTGTGCTCCGCAACGGGAGAGGCTGCAGCAGTGAGAGACCTGCGTATCCCCCCAAAATAAATAAATAAATAAATAAATAAAATTAAATCATCTTACATTTGCAAAGTATTTTCAGGTTACAACTCATTAAATCCAAAAATTTCAGTTTACAGATGCACAAATTAAAGAAGCACCATTAGATGAATGTGAAACTTAGTAATACTTTTGTTAGAAGGAACTCAGAGGCAAAAGGAACACATATTTTACAAATTAGTGTCATAGTTAAAACTAGTGCTTTACAACTTCCGGGGCTGTCAGATGTCAATATGAAGATGCTCATCCCATCACAAGAACCCCAAGTGACACTTTGCAGCTTGTTATTTGTGCTGAAGTCGGAAAACTGGTAATTCACAACTTATGCCAATGTGCGTGCATAAAACCAAACAGTGAGGTGAGATTTTGACTTTCTTCCCCATTTTCTGCACTGACCATCTCATTTAAATTTCAACTAAATGTAATATTTAACATGACAAGCACTGACAAGACTGCTACCAGAAAAACAAGTTTACTTTAGCTACTTTTTAAAGGGGAAAAAAGTAGTTTACTCACTCATTCACGTTTGAGATGCAGAGTAAGCATTTAGACTGAAACCAATGAAAATTTCATCAAGATAAAAAAAAATAAACTAGCGAGACACATTCTGCTTCTTGACATCAAAAGACAACATGCAAAAACAAAGATCTTCATTCCCCATCTCCCTCTTTTAAAAAGTTTTGCAAGGACCATGGTTTTTCACAGCTGTTTGCAATAAAGGCTTGGTTAATCCAAATTTGTTCCCCTAATCTTCCTTCTTTAAATAAACAGGATATTGGTCTATTATTATAGAGCTGATATTCTCTTTTTTTTTTACTTTTTTCTGAAGAGCACTTAAAAACAAAAGTTTTACAAACATTGCATACTTATCTCTTGTTGATTCTGCCAATCTACTTACTCAAGATTTCTCGGGCTTCCCTGGTGGTGCAGGGAAAGAGTCTGCCTGCCGATGCAGGGGACACGGGTTCGTGCCCCGGTCCGGGAAGATCCCACATGCCGCGGAGCCTGCGCGTCCGGAGCCTGTGCTCCGCAACGGGAGAGGCCGCAGCAGTGAGAGGCCAGCGTACCGCAAAAAAAAAAAAAAAAAAAAAGATTTCTCAAACTTTCCACACTATCTTAAGTTACCAGGAAGACCCTCAAACCCTGGCCTATCTCTTCCCAGCCAATTCTGTTTGCCAAAGATCACTTACTCTCTGGCAGGCAAAATTCCTCTATTTTCACTCTTCTTTCTGAGAAACAAGTGGTCCTCTTGCTTGCCAACTACCTTCGCCTCCTCTTCTATTCCTTTCTTTTTCAACGTGCCTGTATAGGCTCCCACCCTCTGAATGTATAAAGATCAGAGGCAGAGGTCCCATCAGGTTTAACAGTGAGGGACTAAGGAAGTGGAGCCAAAAAGGATGAATCTTTTTTTTTTTTTTTTCTGCTACAGAGCGTGGCTTGGAGGATCTTAGTTCCCTGGGCAGTAGAAGCGCAGAGTCCTAACCACTGGACCACCAGGGAATTCCCCAAAAGGATGACTCTTTAACTCCTATAATTGTGCTCATCCCAAATCCCTCATCTTCTCAGTCCTCACCCTACGCCTCCAGCCCAGCCAGCTGTATCTTTGTCTCCTTTGCCGGCTCATCTTCTCTAAAACATAAGGCATTTCCTGAGATTTTTATCCTGAGTCTCCTCTTCACACAGTTTCAACCATTTACCCTGACATCTCTCCAACTGCAGTCGCTTGTTTCCTACCTAATCTCTCCCTCTGGATGTCCTGCCAGCACCTCCAAGTCACCACGTCCAACACCAAACCCCTTACCTTTTCCTCCCTGCTCCCCTAAATCTTTCCACTTTCCCACCTGTGCTCTCACCTTTTAGCCACCCTGTTCTCCATCTTCAGACGGCGGTACCCAGGGAGGAGGAATCAATTCATTTGCCAGGAACCAAGGTTCTGCTTCCGATCTCTCAAATCTACCCCTTCTGTTCTATATCCACTGGACAGTACATCTCTCATCGGCACCGCTATAACACGCTCCTTTTGGTATCCTTTCCTCAAGTTTTCAGTACACAGCATTGCTGGAGAAATATTCCTTACGCACAAACTTCAATCAGGTCTGGCATTCGAGATACTCTACACCAAGACTTCTCAAACTGTAGTGTGTATGTGAATTGACGCTGATCTTGTTAAAACGCAGATACTCTTTCAGTGGATCTGGGCGGTGCCTGATTCTGGATCTCTAACATGTTCCCAAGTGATGACGATGTTACTAGCATATGGCTGTATACATACAATGTGCCCCAACCTATTTTTCTAGCCTTATCTTCTATCCCTCGCTGCCCAGCACACATATGTCTGTATCTCTCTCGTATGCACAGGTCTCTCTCTCTCACTCACACACACACACACACACACACACACACACACACACAGAGAGATGCATACAAACAAAATAATGTTCCCTAAACATACTTCCCAGCTTTTGCACCTCTTGCTGTCTCCTCAAGTCCAGCCTCTGCCCATCACAGTTCTACCCACTTTTCAGGAAACAACTCATTCTGCCACAACATTTTCTCATCTTCTCTTCTACCTCACCTGGGTACCCCACCCACTGAACACTACAAAAACCCTGGGACACTGATGGCACGTAATTTGCATGGCTTCTGCCCTGTACAGTCATTATGGGTCCCCTTATTTAATCCTCACTGCTGAACTGCACTTCCTCTTGGAGGACAGGGGCTATCTGCCTAACCACTGTAACCCCAGGGCATCCTGGGGGCCTCTTAAGTGCCAATAAACACCTGCTGCAGTGGATGTGTATTTTAAGAAAAATGAAACATGTTTCTCTACTTCATGTAACTTACTTTGAGCAAGTGCTTCAGAAGTTCCTTTAAGAGAAACAAAAACACTCTTTCTGGCTAGCTAACTCATTAGCAAAACCTATGAAAATTTTGCCAGACGTTTGCCACTTTAAAAACACCCACATATAAACATTCAAGGGGTGCTTCTAGAATTTTAGTACGCATCCTAGTTATGGTAGTCTCCAGGCAAAATATCAAGGTTCTGATATTTAACTGAAAAATTAAACCTAATTTGTCATAATCTAGTAATTACCACATTGTAAATTTACGATACATTCTAATCCAGATTCGGGATTAATTTATCTAATGCTCCTGTTATCATTGCATTTATTAAATCACTTTCCCCCTGGGTGTGCTAAGATTAGCCATCTGCAAAATATTTTACCATTAAAATGCCTTCCATTTGTGTCCAGACTTTGAAAAGTGCTTTAAAACATGTATCTTGAAATAACGTTTTTAAGGAGATGAAGCAACTCAACCAAGACAGCCCTATATTAAATGTTTATATAGTAAACCCTATAAATATCAAAGAACTACCAAAATTCAAGAACACACCCATAGCTCCTAAACTTTAGTGTGTTCAAGAATTGTCTGGAGTGCATGTTAAATTTGCAGATTCCAGGTTCTTACCCTGAGAAAGTCTAATTCAGTAAATCTGGAGTCGGACTTAGAAAACTGTACAGTTAACCAGCATCCCCAGGTGCTTCTGATGCAGGTGTTCCGCAGAACTCAATTACAGAAATACTGACCTCAACCCTGGTCCGTGGGCACTACAGGGATATGTTTAAAGGGAAACGTTGAAATCTCTTTGTGAAGTCCTTTCCCCAAACAGCTGTCACACCAGCACAGACATAAGGTAATTCACGAAAGAAAAAAAATGGGGTCTGTAAGTCCCTTGGGGTACTAGTAAAGCTCGAAAGCAATGCAAGATCCGGAAAGTGACGTTTCTCTCCCACCTCGACCTCCATTCTCCGAGCATCCTCCAGGTACCTTGGAGGATGCTGCTTGCGCCCGGGAGCTAGAATCGGGCGCCGGGGAGCGGAGCGAGGCCAGTCTCCGGTCCAGGGGCTGGCAAGGCGGCCCCGCGCTCTCCCCCAGGTCAGCAGCAGTCCTCCGCCAGCGAGAGGCCGTGGCCGAGGGGGGACCGCGGCCACCAGATCCTCTGCGGCGCACGCGCATAAACAAGTAGACTCCCGGGGTCAGCGGTCCGGGTGCTCTGCCCGCGCCCCTCACCTGCGGCACGGCCGAAGATCGGCCTCGTCGTCCGGTTCCGGCTCCCGCGGCTCCTGCTCCCCCGCGGCCGCCGGCAGCGCCTCGGCGTCCTCCACAGTCACCTCCGCCGCAGTCACGGCGCCCGCCGCCTGCACCCGCACGGCCGACGTTGGAGCGGCCGCGGCCCCCAGGCCGAACGCCGCCTCCACTGTCGATGCGGGGAAGTCGGAAGCGCGCCGCGCGGCCACCGTCCCCGTCACGAGCCCCAGCTGTAGCGGTGGCAGTAGCAGCAGCAGCAGCAGCAGCAGCAGCAGCAGCGCCCGTGCCAGCGACCCCGGGCGGGCGGCGCGCTCCATCAGCGGCCCGCCCCGCGCGCGGGCATGGAGGTGCAGCCGCCGGCGCCCGCCTCTCCCGCCGCTCGGAGCCCCGGACCAGGGCGAGGACGTGCTAGGGACCCCAGCCGCCGCCCCGACGGTCAGGACGTCCAGCCGCGTTTCTCAGGCCACGTCTTAACCCGGCCTCAGCCACCGCCACCTGAGTGACAGCCTCCCTCGGACATCGCCCATTGAGCAAACGTTCCGCGCATCTGCTCTTTGATTGGCTGCGGCCTCTGCCACTCTGGGCTCCCAGGCTAGTCCTGTTGGAGAAGGTGGGCTTTCCCTGGTTGTCAACAGCACGCCTGCCAATCAAGTTGTATTTCCTTAGCCCGAGGCCCGGCCCTCTTCCGGACGCGGTTACCAATGAGAAACGCTCCTCCCGGCAACCTTTTTACCTGATTGATGAGCTCCGCAGTTCCCAGAATACCTTTCCCCAGAGCAGATTGGCCATTGTGCTGGTTGGCCTCGCCCCTCAAAGCGAGGCACTAGAGAACACTTGAAGATCACTGGTGGAAGCGGATGCCCCTCAAAAGTCTGAGATAACTTCTTCTTGATTGGTTGGAAGCGGCACTTAATACGTGGCGGATTCTGAATGTGGAGAGGAAAGTCCCAAGTGAAAGGAAGAGTGGGAGGCTAGTCCCTAGTGGCGGGGAGGCGGCTGACCTTCAAGGGGTTACCGCTGTAAAACCTGGTTCTTTTGGATAGGCAAAAGAAGAGCAGGAAAAATGAGTGACCGCACAAAACATGTAGTTCCTGAAAGTGGAAGGGGTAACGTGAGTTGGGGAGACGATCCTGCGTGTGTCCGCGACGGTGTTGAGAATTACGGCTGGTTAGAGATGCGGGTGACCTACGTGATCCAGTCTACCCGACACGCCCCTTCGTCATTATAAAGGACAAGGAGCCCTGGCCCGGGGCACTTACGTCATTTTTCTAAAGTCACATAGCTAGTTATTTACAGAACCGTGACTTTCATCCAAGCCTTCTGATCCTGGTCTGCCATGCTTTGTACCTCACTATAGAGCAAAGAAAGAGTTAAAACCGCAAAAGGCCAAACTGGAGAAGATTTGAATGTTCGGCTAAGGCTTTAGAACTTTTCATGCAGTTAAGGACACCGTGAAGATTTTTGAGTGAAGTGATAAAGAGTTGTGGTTTACGAACAACCAACTGCTGTGGATTCTTCAGCAGTGTTTTCAAAAGAAGAGCATCAAAGATTAGAAGACTTGTTGGGCAGCTATAGCTGGGAGGCTATGACCCCATCAGAATTCTGAAGATTTTTTTTTTTAAGATACCGGCATACAGACGTGCTCTTAATTTCTTGTGTCCAAAAGCAAAAGAAGCAAAACCCCCCACTTCGCCTAACACCTCCCACATTTCATTGTTGCTCAGTACAGCGAAACTCTGAACTCTTTGTCTTTAATTCCTCTTCTCTCCTTGTCAAACACACTACAATCGGGCTTTGGGGCACACAACTCCACCAAACTGCTCTAGCTGTGGCCACCATTGCTAAATTCAAAAGACAATTCTCCATCTTCATTTTATCAGCTATAGTTAACCCAGCACATCAGTCTTTCCTGTATAAAAACACTTTTCACTGGTTTTCCTGCTTCCACGTGGGCCAAATCATAACTCTCATTACCACCCCCATTTTAACTTAATCTCCTCTTTGAAAGGCTTCTCTCCAAATAAGGTTACATTCGGAGGTACTGGGGGTAAGGACTTGAACATATGAATTTGAGGGAGGACACAATTCAGCCCGTAACACCCAGATACTCGTGAGACCTGTTCCCTCACTTCCTTCAAGGCTCTGTTACCTTCCGAGTGAAGACTCTCAGGACCACCCTTCCTAAACTCCTCCCCTGCTTTATTTCTCTCCTTAAATCTTAAAAACTCTACATACTTGTTTACTGTCTGTCTCTCTCCACTCCTATATAAATTCCATGAACATTTTACTCATTGATGTATTCAAAGAGCCTAAAAACAATACAAAGTGTTTAGTAAGTGTTTAATAAATATTTGTTGAATGAATGAATATCTGAGGACAGAAGGGAAAGGGATAAATGGAAGAGATTGTAGTTGCTGTAGATAGAAGGGGGCAATTAAGGAAGCAAGATCCCAGAGTATCTGGAGAAAACAGAGACTGCTATGCCTTCCATGTTGAAAGTGGAGATTAGAGAGTACCCCTAGAGAATAAATTACTTTGCAATGAAGAGAAAATAGATGAGAGAGCTCAAACTAGTTGATCACTATCTACTCAACAAAACAGGAGATAAGATCTCCTAAGTAAGAGGTTATAAGAGGGATGTGTCAGAAAATTAACCTGAGGTGAAAAATGATTGTTGACCACTTGTAATGGCTCATTTGAAATTAGCTAGTATTGATATATATATTTTAGTGGACCTAGTCCTCACGGTTTTGTAACTTTTTCAAAAAATGATCATGTCATGAGCAATAATCTGAGCTAATGAATTAGGGATCTGCTTGCCACCTGTAAATGATGTGGAAGTTTTGTTCATTCATGTATTCACTTACCATTCAGGGAGTACCATGTAGCCACCTGCATGTAATGGGAATAAAGATGTGAACAAAACAGGCATGGTCCTTGCCCTTCTGAAGCTTAATATCTATCTAGTTAGGGAGACAGACACTAATAATATATTATTAAAACCAAGACAAGTGCTATGATGAAAAGGGCACAGGCAGAAGAGCAGTGGTGGAAAATGTCAGGAGAGTCAAGCTTCATACTCAGAAAAAAAAAAACATGCAAAAATTTCCATTTTGGAAAAAGAAGAAGGTCCTGAGTCATGGTCATCTGAGTGGGAAAAAAATAACTGGGAGGGGAAAGAGAATCTGCGAGTTTTAGAACAGCGTGCAGAGCCACAGTGACTGCATGGGAGCTCTGGAAAGTGAGTCTGAGCACCTCAGGGAAGTGTATGAAAAGTTGGGACCAGGCGTGATGCTGATCCATGAGTCTGAGCCAGGAAAAGAAGCTGGTGTTTCCGTCCCTGAGCCAGGGCTGCCCAGAACAATTAAGATTCTAAAACAGCTTGGTCAAGAAGGTCAGGAAAACAGGTTAGAGCTTTAGTATCATAAGCTCAGTCCATAAACAGAGAATGTCTGTATCTGTTGAGATTGTATCTGGTTGTAATTAATAAAAAAAGAATGGCCACATAATGGCTGAAACAAGGAAGGGATTTATTTTTCTTAGTGACACGGCCGTTCCACAATTGGTTTATTTAGTCTTACGCTTCTGTTTTTCCACTCTTCATGTATGACTTCTGTTCCTCGTGCTTGTCATCTCATGATTTCAGGATGGCATGCCCAGCATCATTTCTTTACTATGGGTAGGAAAAGAGGAACAACAGAAGACATTTACCACCTGAATTTGCCCTCTTTTAAAGAACTTACCTGGAAGCCCCAAGTAGAGGACTTCCACTTACAATTCAAAGGTCAAGACTATGTCACATAGTCTGCTAGGATAGCATACTGCCACTCTGAACAAAACTGGGGTTCTGCTAGTGATGACGAGGAGGGAATTTGTAATCTGCTTCATCGAAGTATAGTACATGTACGATAAAGTCTTCCTAGTGAAAGCGCATGCTTGGAAAAGTTTCGACACATGCGTACACCACAGTCAAGATAACAGAGTATTTCATCACCCCCAAGGGCATCCTCACATCCCTCTGCAGTTAGTCCCTCCTTTCACTCCCCAGCCCCCAGGTAATCACTGATCTGTTTTCAGTCACAGTGGATTTTCTAGAATTTTTAATAAATGTCATCATACAGTTTAGACTCTTTTGTGTCTGGCTTCTCTCACTCCTTATACTTTTAAATTCATGCATGTTGTTGCATGTAGCCATACTTTGTTCATTTTTACTGCCAAGGAGTGTTCTATTGTATGTAGGCCACGTTTGTTTATCCATTCACCTAGTGGTGTACATCGGGATATTTCCAATTGTTGGCTATTACAAATAAAGCTACTGGGACTTCCCTGGTGGTCCAGTGGTTAAGGGTCTGCGCTCCCAATGCAGGGGGCCCGTGTTCAATCCCTGGTCAGGGAACTAGATCCCACATGGTGCAACTAAGAACCTGCATGCTGCCACTAGAAGATCCCGTGTGCCGCAACTAAGACCCGGCACAGCCAGATAAATAAATATTATTAAAAATAAATAAATAAAGCTGCTATGAACTTTCATGTACAACTCTTTTGTGGAAACATAGGTTTTTATAACCCTTGAGTAAATACCTAGAAGTAAACTTACTGGCTCATGTGATTGATGTATTTTTAACTATATGACAATTTGCCAAATAGTTTTCCAAAGTGGTCGTACCATTTTACACTCCACTAGCCATGTGTGAGAGTTCAAGTTGTTCCAAATCCTCACCAACACTTGATATTGTCGGTCTTTTAATAGCTGCTATTCTAGTGGATATGCAATGGCATCTCATTGTGGTTTTGGTTTGCATTTCCCTGATAACTAATGATTTTGAACATCTTTTAATGTACTTATTGGACACTTATACATCTTCTTTTGTGAAATATCTGTTCAAAGCATTTATAAACGAAAGAATTTATATAGGTAGGCACCCAGCAGAGTTTGCCATACAGTGAAATATGCTGTGTCCGTGGGCTATTGCCATAATAATAAGGAGCCATCCCAAAAATGAAGTGGCTTAAAAAAAATTATGCTTTCACACCCTGTGCCTGAGGATTGAATGATGTAGCCAAAACACTTTATTCTTATGGCAATGGCAGAAACACAAAAAAAGGTGAGTGGAAACTTACAGGCTAGAGTCAGAACCAGAGTACTGAAAAAGAAATAAAAGGAATCCAAATCGGAAAAGAAGAAGTTAAACTGTCACTGTTTGCAGATGACATGATACTATACATAGAAGATCCTAAAGATGCTACCAGAAAACTACTAGAGCTCATCAGTGAATCTGGTAAAGTTGCAGTTTACAAAATTAATACACAGAAATCTGTCACATTTCTATACACTAGCAATGAAAGATCAGAAGGAGAAATTCAAGAAACAATCCCATTTACCACCGCATCAAAAAGAATAAAAAACCCAGGAATAAACCTACCTAAGGAGACAAAAGACATATACTCCAAAAACTATAAGATGCTGATGAAAAAAATTGAAGAAGATACAAACATATGGAAAGATATACCAT